GTCTGTAACCTGAAGCGTATGTAACCTGAAGCGTATGTAACCTGAGGTACCACTGTACTTCATCTGGAAAGATTGGTAGGTGGAGCTGGGAAGCAACTGATGTTCGTGATTAGGGGTGGGTGAATCTGCCAATATCAGTTTATCTCCATTTCTCATTATTCTATTCTTAAATGCTCCACATTTCCACATCAGTTTGCATTTTTTTTTTATTCTTCATGACAATGAATCATTAATGAACTGAAGACGTTGTTAAACAAATTCATAGGCCGCCTCACCTCACATCATAGAGGCAATGAAGCAGCGTACATGATAAAAACAGAGATAAAGAAGAGAAAGAGAAGCTCTAAGAACAATAAAATCAATTCAACACACTCTAGAACAAGAGATCACCTTACACCCTATATGCCCACTCGACTTCCTTCTCTCTGTGGAACTCGCACTGTTACAAGTGCCACACGTTCTGCATTGGTAAAAGCTTGTTCTTTTATTGTGGAACTCTCAGCCTCTCAACAACAGGCAAACACCTTCATTGTGCTCTTTTAGGAGTCTGCTAAAGTTTTACCAAGCCTCTCTAGACATGCAGAATGTTGACATGTGTTTTAATCTGCCTTTTAGCTTATCATTGATTAAGATTTTAAAAAATCGTTTAAAGTTGTTGTTCTTTTTTAAACTGATGGTTTTATGGTTTTATTCTATTTTGCAAACTGCTTTGAGGTTTTATTATAACCAAGCAATTTATAAATCTCTAAAAAAAACCTGTCCGTGCAAGCTCTAAAGAAGGTGAAATGATTTAATCAGATATCAAATTAATTTTCCATAAATGATTAGGTAATACCTCAGAGAAAGCCTTCCTAAACAACAAAAGTCTTCAATGGGCATATGAACATGCTAGGCAATGGGTTAGCCTTGCCCATTGATTTCAGTGTGTCTACTCTGAGTAGAACTAACACAGAATACCACCCTAGGTGAAAATTACAAAACATATAATTGAGATAAAATCAGTTAAAATTAACCATAAATCTGAAAATTTACTTAAAATGCCAGAAATGATGATGATGGTGGTGGTGGTCTTCACCAAGTCTTTATAGCTCAACAGGGAGAGGGCCTGTTTGATCTCAGCCAGGAAGGAGTACCATAGAATCAGGCCTACAATACTGAATGCACAGCTCCTGGTGGATATAAGTTGTGCATCCAAGCCATGGGGGCCCTCCAGTGTCAAAGATCGATCCAAGAACATCCAAGAACAGGATGGGTCCAAGATATTTTGGCACCTGAGATAAACCACAATATGGCACTTACTCCTGGCCAGGGGCGAGGCAAGATTTACACCAGGAACAAGTGGGGAATAACAATCTACATCAGGAACAAGGGTGGGAGGAGACCAGCAGTGCCTTTTGTTTGCAAAGAGGCCACTTTAGAGGCAGCAATGGGACCATCAGAAGCCAACATAGTAGCAGCAGAGGACAGTGCATTCCTTGGAGGCCAGTTTGCTGGGAGTTATATACCACATATATAACATCTTCAAGAAATTTTCCTTTAGTGTATAAGGCCATAAATTTCCATTCTTTATTCTTTATTCCATAATTTTTCCCATACTGACAACTGGATATTCTTACCAAAAATTTTTGCCCACTTAATCATTACTTCTTTCGTCTCTTCCTCTTTCACCTCCCACTCTAAAAGAAGCTTGTACATTCTAGATATTACTCTTATTTTGTATTAATTCTTTATCTAATTTTGATTATTCTGTTGCAAAACTTTTTTTCCTGTCCATCTAAAAAACCTCATTTAATTGGTAACATTGTAGCCAGTCTGTTAGGTTATGTCTGATTTCTTCGAATTTTTTCACTTTCAATTGATTATCTTCTTCTTCTAGGTGGCCTAGTTTGTTTCCATATTTTTTCTTTTCACTGCAATGGCAGAGGGGATAGCCACCAGGTATTTTTGTTTTTGTTTGTTCCAATAAATCTTTATACTTCTCATATATCTTATATAGTGGCTTCCTTATATGATTCAGGAAGCCTCTATGAATTTTAACTTTTTCACATCCCAGGTAGGCACGCCACCCAAAGCGATTATTTAAACCTTCCAAATCTAGTAAATCTGAGTTCTCCAATGTCATCCATTCTTCTAGCCAACATAAGCAAGCCGATTCGTAATAAAGTTTCAGGTCTGGCAGTGCAAATCCCCCTCTGTCCTTACTGGCTATTAATAATTTGTGTTTAATTCTAGGTTTTGCATTGCCAGATAAACCTCGATAAGTCTTTCTGCCATGTCTTGAAGCATCCCATCCACCCTATCACCGGGATCATGTGAAACATGAACATCATCTTTGGGGGCACATTCATTTTTACTGTGGATACTCTCCCCCAAAGCGACAGGTTCAGCCTGTTCCATATTTCTAAATCCTTTTTCATTTCCTTCCATAGCTTTGTATCATTATCGCTGAATAAATTACTGTTTTTAATTGTGAGCCAGATTCCCAAGTATTTGACCTTGTTAACTATTGTCAGACCCGCAGTTTTTTGCAATTCTTCTTTCTCTTGTGCTTCCATATTTTTTTGCCAACAGTTTGGTTTTATTTATATTTATTTTAAATCCCGCCACCTTCCCAAATTCATAAATTTTTGGTAAACTTTCTGCTGAGTTTTCGGTAGTTATTATAAGATCATCCACGAAGGCCTTTATTCTGTAAGATTTGCTATCCAGTACTATTCCTTTTATTTCTGGGTCTTTCTTATTGCGATTGCCAATGATTCTACCACCATAATAAACAATAGAGGTGACAGTGGGCAACCTTGCCTAGTTCCTTTCATTATTTTAAAACCTTCTGTTATTTCATTATTTATACCGTATTTTTCGCTCTATAACACGCACCCGACCATAACACGCACATACGGAGGAAAATCCGTAGAAATGCCACCCGTAGGCATTTCCTCCATAACACGCACAGACATTTCCCCTTACTTTCTAGGAGGAAAAAAGTGAGTGTTATGGTGCAAAAAATACGGTAATCAATTTCGCTCTCTGATTCTGACATAGTGTCTCTATGCCAGTACAGTGGTACCTCGGGTTACATACGCTTCAGGTTACAGATGCTTCAGGTTACAGACTCCGCTAACCCAGAAATAGTACCTCAGGTTAAGAACTTTGCTTCAGAATGAAAACAGAAATTGTGCGGTGGCAGCATGGCAGCAGCAGGAGGCCCCATTAGCTAAAGTGGTACCTCAGGTTAAGAACAGTTTCAGGTTAAGAACAGACCTCTGGAACAAATTAAGTTCTTAACCCGAAGTACAACTGTACTGAAAGTCTTCCCCAAACCTGTAATTTCTATGGTTTTTTCATATAGCTCTAGGATATATTATCGAAAGCTTTTTCGGCATCCATGAACATCAAAATTGCTTTTTTGTCTGTTCTTGTCTTTAGATATTCTCCAGAGTGTTTTTTACTTAGCTGGAATGTGTCCTCAAACTCCGATAGTGCTTCTTGGGTGGATGATAGAGGTGGCCATATAGTAGAAAGTAGTCCAGTGTACAAAGTTAAAAGGTGTCTTAATTGCTCCACTCACTTTTGCCCCTGGCTCTGCCCACCATTTGGTTCCACAACCTTGGATGAATGCTTATACTTTGGATCTTTGAAAAGGCTATGCAAATGTTAAATCCTACTATTGATATTGTGTTGCATTGTGTTGCATTGTGGCATTGTGGGTGAAGAAAACCTTGTGGGTAAATGCAGACAACCAGACTGAAAGAGTCTTTGGGCAAATGAAGCTGAATAGAGTTAGGGCAGAGAAGAAGTAGGGAAAATGGCATTGTGAAGAAAGTGCTGAATGTGCAAGAATACAAATAAGTTTGCCACAAGTGTAGAAAATTGGTGGTGCTTTTCAATGTGGAAATGAACACAGAATGAGGTAGAGTTTTTTCAGCACAGCTCTCTGTGGAGCCCATTCAGGATGGCTACAATACATTTGCTGAAGTAGCTTTGCTGCAAATTGGTATTCATCTTCCTATGTCAATTTGCACAAACCAAAGCAACTGGTAAATTAGAATGCAGGCTGTCTCTAAAACCTTCAGTTACCCACCAAGAGGTAATTTTGCCTGACTGAAGCAATTTTTGGAAATAAGAAACTGAATCTGAGAGTGTAAAGGGCTTTTACTGTAGCTCAGTCAATTGGGGTATTGGCCTGTTTAAGTTTTGAAAACACTCTAGGCTACAAAACCAAACCCTAAGAGAATCTTTGTTCATTGAGAGTCTACAGCCAAGGGAAGTGATGAGTCTGGAAGTGATTTAGAACACAGATGTTGAAATTAACAAACACTTTAAAAAAGTTTATATTTAGTTAGCCAAATATATAATAAAGCTAATATTTAGTTTGGCTCTTTACATGTTGTTGGACTACAATTCCCAATCGCCAGGAATGATAGGAGTTGTTGTTGTTGTTGTTGTTGTTGTTAATTCAGTTGTATACCACCCTTCATCTGTAGATCATAGGGCAGTTCACAACATAAAAATACAAAATGAAAACACAAAATACATTATAAATCAAGAACAAGAATGAACCAATAAGCTCTTCACACAAACACAGTTAAAAGGCCATGGAATGTTTAATCAGCTCAACACCTGATTATAGAGGAATGTTTTTACCTGGCACCTAAAGAAATGTAATGAAGGCACCAGCCAAGGCTGCCCAGGGGGAGAACATTCCACAAATGGGGAGCCACCACAGAAAACACCTGTTCTTGTGTTGTCACCCTCCAGACCTCTCATGGAGGGAGTGCATGAGGAAGGGCCTCAGACGATGATCACAGGGTCTGGGTCAGTTCATCTGGGGACAGATTGTGGCTTAGCAACATCTGGAGGGCCAAAGGCTTCCCACTCCTGCAATAAAGTCAGCATCTGAAGGTGCATGGGCAGTGAATGTTGAAATCATAGAATTATAGAGTTGGAAGGCACCCTGCGGATCCTCTAGTCCAACCCCCTGCGATGCAGGAATATACACCTGTCCCATGCGGGGATCAAACATGCAACCTAGGTGTTAGCAGCACCACACTCTAACCAACTGAGCTATCCAGGCAGCTTAATTATCAGAAACCAAAGTAATTCAAGCAGATGATGCAGAATAGTAAAACACAAGATACTGCTGGGTACTGTCCAGAGTTCCATCCAGCCTGGAAAAGGGGGGGGCTTAGTCGATATTTATAGAGTTATGCAGGCTGTAGAGTACTGAGAAAGGGTTTTCTCCCTTTCTAGAGTACTAGAACCTAAGAGTTAAATGGTGGGAAATCAGGAGAGATATACAGTGGCATTGTTAATTTTTGGAATTTGGTCTTACATCAGGCAGGGATGGCTGCCATCTTGGATGGCTTTTCAAGTGGAACCAGACAAATTCATGAAGGAGAAGGCTACCATGATGACTATGTTCTGCCCCTATGGTTGGAGGCAGTAGAATCATAGACTTGTAGAGTTGGAAGGGACCCAAGGGTCATCTTCAGGTCTACCCTCCAGAGCAGGAGAAAACAAGCTTGCTCCATATTTCATGTGATAACCCTTGAGATATTTGAAGATGGCTATCATATCTCCTCTCAGTGTCTTCTTTTCCAGGCTAAATATACCCTGCTCCTTCAACTGTTCCTCATAAGGCTTGGTTTCGAGACCCTTGATCATCTTGGTTGCCCTCCTCGGCACATGTTTCAGCTTGTCAACATCCTTCTTAAATTGCTGAGCCCATAATTGGACACAGTTATTACAGGTGTGGTCTGACCATGGCAGAATAGTGGCGCTGTGGGTTAAACCACAAAGTCTAGGACTTGCCAATCAGAAGGTCGGCGGTTTGAATCCCCGCGATGGGGTGAGCTCCCATTGCTTGGTCCCTGCTCCTGCCAACCTAGCAGTTCAAAAGCACCTCAAAGTGCAAGCAGATAAATAGGTACCGCTCCAGCGGGAAGGTAAACGGCGTTTCCATGTGCTGCCCTGGTTCGCCAGAAGCAGCTTAGTCATGCTGGCCACATGACCCGGAAGCTGTACGTCGGCTCCCTTGGCCAATAAAACGAGATGAGCACCGCAACCCCAGAGTCGGTCATGACTGGACCTAATGGTCAGGGGTCCCTTTACCTTTACCTTATTACTTTCCTTGATCTGGACACTATACTTCTGTTGATGCATGATTCTATACATGGCCCTGATTAGTCAGCAGCATATGTAGAGGTGGGGTGATTTCCCCCGTGATGTCAGAGACTGGTCCACAGAGACAGCTCCAGCCTTGAGAGGGCACTGGAAAAAGAGCCCCTCCGGTGCACACCTTGGAAATAGTCTGTTCCACTGCCGAGCCTCTTACTAATAGATAATTCTTCTTAATGTTTAGTGGGAATCTCCTTTCCCCTCCTCATTTGAATCCATTCGTTCAGGTCCTACTCTCTTGAGCAGCTCCATCTTGCTCCATCTTCCATGTGATAGCAGACCTTAAGATATTTGAAGATAGCTGTCGTATCAAGTCTTCTCTTGCCCAGGCTAAACATATCCAACTCCTTCAGCTGTTCCTTGTAAGGCTTGATTCGCAGACCCAAATGCAATAAAGATAAATAAAATGAAGTGGCAGCTTGATCCAAGTGCTCAGCAGGCTATGTATCTTGGCTTTTACTGCACGAAGGAATCAACTCAGGTTGCAGAACTGAATATCTAAATCTTTATTCCTCATATTGGTGCGTCATAAAAGTAGGCCAAGGATAGAGGACAGCTCAGGTGGCAGGCAAGGCTGGGCAAGCTAAAACGTTGATCCAACAAGCTGCATTCCCCCTGTGCCTAGCAAATGGGATTGTGTTTTGGACTGGGCAAGCAGGTGGAAACTCTTCTGGGAAGCCTGAACCTGACCTGTCTGCTTTGTCTATGGGCAAGCCCTCCCCCTGCTTCACCTGGACCCAATGGTGTCTCCTCAGGGCCCTAGATATAATCTTTTCTTTAAGCCAGGTAGGAGTTTGTTTCAGCAGTGGGCCCTGCTATGGCATTGGGGCCATGGCACTATCCAAGTATTCCAGATGCTGGCACAGGCTTTGGATTCCCACCCTTTCCATTCCCTAGTTGTCTTCTTGTTTAATCCTCAGTGGCTTCTTAGTGGTTAGTTCTTTCTTACATTTGCTCCCCTCCAAGCATTCTTGTCATTTGGCTCCTTTGATCTCTTCCATGCTTCTTCATCTGGGGTGTGTGTGTGTGTGTGTGTGTGTGTGTTCTCTAGCTATGTTTGCTTCTTGAAAGAGAGGCTCCAATGGGATCACTGAGGGTGGGTAGGGGAGAAGGAAGCATGCTTGAATGAAAGGCAGCGCTCGAATGTGAATTTTACCGAGTTAGCAGAAGCCCTTTTGGTTAATTACTGCTCCCTTCTCCCTTGGGGACTGGCATTATTTTTCCCGTGAAGGAGTTCAGAGCGGCATCCCAGTGAGAGCTAGCTGTGAAGGAGCTCCTCTTGTTATGCAGTCTGGCAGGAGTAATGGCATTAGCTCTCGGTAATAATCTGCAAAATGTTTTCCAAAAAAATAGAGAAGTGCTTACTCTCATTTCATTTAAAGGTAGGGTGGATGAGGCTAATGGCAGATCAGCCAATTCCTGTTCCTTGTCAGTTATTGCATGCATTCTTGTTTGGGAAGGGCTTAGTGGTAGAGCATTTGCTTTGTAGGCAGAGGTGCCTAATTCAGCCCCAAGGTTTTCCAGGCAGGGCTGGGAATTTCCCCAATCTGAAATCCAGGAGTATTGCTGCAGATCAGCGTAGGCAATACTGAGATAGATGGTCCAAAGAGCTGATTTGGTTTAAGGCAACTTCCTGCTTTGCACTATTCTTTTTCTGCAGGGGGAAGGGGGGTGAAGGTTACTGGCAGAGCATTTTCTTTGCATGCAGAAGATCTCCAGCATCTCTGGGCTGGGGGCTGGGAATGTCCCCTTTCTGAAACCCCAGAGATCAACTTCCAGTCAGTGTAGGCAATATTGATTTCAATACACCAGTGGTAGGACTTGGTATAAGGCAGCTCCCTATGTTTCTAGATCCATTCTGCACTTTTAAAAAAGCACCAAAATTTCATTTAAGTTGTGTGCTCTTTACCATAAAGTATGGATAGATTGGGACACGGGTGGCGCTGTGGGTTAAACCACAGAGCCTAGGACTTGCCGATCAGAAGGTCAGCAGTTCGAATCCCCATGATGGGGTGAGCTCCCGTTGCTCGGTCCCTGCTCCTGCCAACCTAGCAATTCGAAAGCATATCAGAGTGCAAGTAGATAAATAGGTACCGCTCTGGCGGGAAGGTAAACGGTGTTTCTGTGTGCTGCTCTGGTTCGCCAGAAGAGGCTTAGTCATGCTGGCCACATGACCCGGAAGCTGTACGCTGTCTCCCTCGGCCAATAAAGCGAGATGAGCGCCGCAACCCAGAGTCGGCCACGACTGGACCTAATGGTCAGGGGTCCCTTTACCTTTTTATGGATAGATTGTCCTCTCATTGTTGTTTCTATCAGTTTCTCATTTTTCCAATCAGTGGCTGAGCACTTGCTTTGCATGCAGGAGACCCTGGCTTCCATCTCCAACACCCCCAGAAAGAACAGGAACTGCCCCCAGTCTGAAACCCTGGAGTGTTGCTACCAGTCAGTGTGGACAGTAGAGAGCTCCTGTTTCCAATGAGCTAATGCACACAGGATCTGAGCATGAAGAACACAGTGTCTCTCATGGATTGTGAACTTTTAAGGGAATATTTACTGAGACATTCCACAGGTGACTTAGGAGGCACTGGTATGAACACTGGCCAATATTATTCAGGGCTGACTTCATCATTTTCTGGTGTACTGAGTAGCTCCCCACTTCAAGCTGCAAGGAAGCCAATATTCTGTTCCAGGTGATGGCTCTAATAGAGTGTTCTGGTCAAGACAGGGTTTAGCATTCAGGATGGACAGCTCCATGTTGAGATACTTTAGAATGGTGCTTCAGCAACAGATAACCCCAGGATGAGCAACCGAGCATTAAATAAGACTGCAGCTCTGCCCCCCAGGGGGAGAAGGGGCACTGCCTGATTCAGCAGCCATAGGCTCCCACCATATAGGGGAAAACAATTGTTCCACTGGAGCTTCTCAACTGAAGTCCTTGGAAGATGGCAATGAGACCTCTTCAGACTAGAGAGGTGTTGACAGAATGGCCCCCTCCTGGATTAGGGCTGCTAAGGCAATGAGGACCATAATGACCATATTTCCTCATGCTGTCTGATTCTTCCACTAAGTTCACAGCCTTGTAGCCTGAAGATGGAAAGTTGGACTTTGTAGCTGTGACATCTGGCTGCGAACATGTTTCCAGGAACATAAGAATCTGGCTTATACTGAGTCAGACCCACTGGCTCCTCTTGCTCAGCATTGTCTGCATTGTCCATATTGATTGGCAGCTGTTCTCCAGGGTTTCAGAAAGTATACCCTCCCAGCCCTACCCGAAGACATCAGGGACCTTCTGCATGCAAGGCACATGCTCTACCATTAGCTATGGTGCCTCAAACATAGTAAGATGCTTCATACTGTATCAAACCATTGGTCTATCCAGCTCAATATTGCTCACATTTAATAGCAACAGTTTCCCAGGTTTTCAGACAAGTCTTTCTCCTGGCCCCTGAGACTTTCCACATGCCAAGCAGATGCTCTCCCACTGAACTATGGCCCTTCCCCATTTGGCTCTTGCATCTCTGTAGTTGTGTCTGTTAAATCTAAACTTTGAGAGCTGATCAGCCTCCTTCACTGGCTCCTAAGTTTGGGTCCCTGGCAGAGAACAGCACAACTTCATCTCAAAAGCCACCAGAGACCAATTCTGTCATTGGTGAGAATATCTGATGATTAACTTTTCCAGTGAAGTGTTTGCTTCTGCCAGGCAACCGATGTTTTATAAATGAGCAATTAAAAGCAGGGAGGAAAGTGAGCAAGTGAGCTGGCGTGAGAATCTCAGAATGAGATGTCTGTCAGAGTGTGATCGTTACTGGTTCAAATGACTTTCAGTGGCTTGGGCTCGTGTTTTGGCAGCTCACGCTTTCCTATTCATTCTCTCCAGGTTCCTCCCCACCCCCGCTA